ATTATCGGATAAGCTAAAGGAGATGCTTTCCGTTGTTATTTGGGATGCTGTGGATGCCACATGAGCCGTGTTTGCAGTTTAGATCTCCTGCAATTATCACGGAAGGGCCTAAGTTGAGTAGCGTATCTAGGTCGCTTTGTAATAAGGTTTTGTTCCCCGAGAGGTAGGCTGAGACTAGTACAAGCGGCCTATGGCCGGTGAGCGCTAACCTACACGCGGATGCCTCTATATGGCTTAACTCTGGAATGTCGAGCGGGCTACAGTGCAAGGACCGTTTGTAATAAATTAAGGTGCCTCCCAGACGGTTTGCTAACCGGTCGTGGCGGACTATGTTGTAGTTTGCGATTCTGGGATCGCGAACACTAGGTTTTAAGAAGAGGGTCTCTTGCACTAGAAAAATATCTACATTATAATCGCGAAGGAAATCTGCGATTTCGTCCCTTTGACCCTTAATGCCGTTTGCGTTGAAATACGAAACAACCAGAGCCCGAGGTTTTGTTCTACCTGCGGTTGTACTTCCCATTAAAGTTTTTTATGATTTCTAACTAACAACGCGGCGGAGCGCGGTTTTATTACGCGGACTATTAAGTTTATGGTTGGCTTGTAAATGCCCAGAGGGCTTCTACAAGCATTTTATGTTCGCTAATGGCTTTAAATCGCGCGTTGCCAGATGTGGCGGCCGCTATTTTAGCGGACAATACGGCGAGTTCTTGTCTATTAATGCGGTCTAATAAGGCGCAGATGTTGGCAATTTGGGCGAACGGGTCGTCCTTGTTTTCGGTGAAAACCGACGGTGTCGACTGCACCTGCGGCGTCGGCGCCGTTTGATAGGCGGGCTACGATTGAGCGATTGGTCGTGAGGCGACCGGGAGCGCAACTACCTGCGCGGCCACCTGGGGTTTCACCCAGGCGTTTACGACGGGTACGGCCGCGGGAACGTTTTTCACGGGCGCGGGTTTGGGCAAAGTAGATTTCGCGGGAGCTTTTCTCGCGAGAGTTTTTGGGGCCTTAGGGTAGCCCCTGTAGCTAGCCGGGTGGCCAGTGGTATGACAATTAACGCAGTCCGGTGGATCTGCGCAATCTGTTGGCCGCGTACAATCGGGCGTGCCGTGGTCACCGGTGCATTTGACGCACCTAGGGTGAGCGAAACAATTATTAGCCGTGTGACCATAGTGTTGACAGTTGTGGCACTGCGCCACAACTCCCGATCTTCGCGGGAGCTCGATCACGAGGTCGCTGAGCCCACAGACCCTCTTCAGGTTGAAGATGGCCTTACCTTCCGGGGTAGGGTCAAGTTCAACCATCACCATGTCCATAGGGACACGGGTTCTAGGGTGCCTGAGGCGGCGTACGTTATGCACAGCGTATCCCTGAGTGCGGATGTCGGTCTTCGCCTTGTCGACATCCGACTCTTTGGGGACGCCCTTGATTACTACCCGACGTTTTCTTTCTTCGGGCAAAGAGTAGGTGTGGAAACCTATCTTGTTTTCGCGCAAGTACTTAGTTACGCGACGGAAGTCGTCCGTAGTGTCAAGGTATACGCGGATACCCATATGCGTGTTTTTCGACCGGGGGTCGCGGATATTGTGGCGTTCAAACCACGAACAAATTTGGTGCCACTTAGCCTTCTCCTGAATGATGATGGGTGGAGGAAGCTTTATTTTTCGCTCGGAGGCATCGGTTTAGCCGCCGCGGCCGCCTTTTTAGCGGGCGTCGCGGTGGGACGGATCGTTGAGGCGGCCTCGCATTCGGGGTCGCTGTCGGCAGTGGGGCGTTTTTTGCCCTTTTTACGTGATTTAACGACGGTGAAGCCGTCGGCGTTCGCGTTTTCAGCGGGGGTCGTTTCGACCTCCATGTCCGATCCGCCGTCCGATTGTGAGTCGGGTACGACGGAGCGAAAAGAGGTCGGGTTTGGTTGCGCGGAAGGCGCTACGGGCGAGTTCGCGTTAGCGGATGCCGACGCGACGGGAGCTTCTAAGGTTGCGGAGGGCGACGGGGTAACGGGCGCAGACGGTGCGGGCAATGGCGGTGACGCGAGTTCAGCTAATCGCCTATGCTCGGCTTCATAAGCGAGAAAACGTTCCCACATAGCGGGGCATTCTTTGCGTACGAACTCCTCGAAAAGGGAGCCCATCGCGACGTAAGTGCCTTTGGGGCTTGTAGCCCCGCCGGCGTGTGTGAGCTAAATAAGCCTCCCCACCTTCCGGCAGGGAGGAGTGTGCCTAGAAATAACAACAAATTTGCCTGCGCTTTAGGTGCGCTAGGATGGGTACCTAGCTGTCGCCTATTGCAACAAGCACACAGTTAATAAATGAAACAATGCCGCCTCTGAGGCGAGAAGTGTGTGTAGGATTCTATTTACAAAACAGGAACCTGCCTACGAGCACAACACTACACTAACACTAAACTACTGCACTATTTGCACAAGATTGAAATTGCAACCGAGGTTGCGAGTGGCGTCTAATTCGGGTGGCATGTGCCCTCCGTCTTAGAGAGACGTCCGTTCCGTACGAGAGCACGAAGCGGAATGGGCAAAGGCCTCTGCATAAAAGGTATTAAGGGAAAGTCCACCATGACACCATTGTGGATTGGCAGACTTTAATTATCTTTTTAAATGTTTTTATTTCGAAAATCTGCAGGTTTACTCCACGATTTTTTCCTTCCCCACTAAGAAAGTATATCAGCCCTTAAAATTTTAATTAACAAATTATTGGTGCCGGCAGCGGGAATGCTCAAGTATATTCAATTCAAAGCGTCCGGACACTCAGCTATCAAGGCTCAAAAAAAAAAAAGAAATAGAAAAAGAATAAAACAAAAAAATGAACGGAAAATTGACATGAACAGATGAGATCGATGAAGGTTATCACAGACTCAAAATCAAAAATATATTTATTCACATAGAGGCTTGCGCGTTCTTATAAAATGTCAAAAATTTTACATAAAAATTAATACGTTCGTAAGTTACCACCGGTTCGGAAAGCACTTTGTGTTGAGAAGAAACCGACAAGAATCTCAACAGTTGCTCTTTTTTAAAACGATTAGTTTACAATATAATAGAACAAGTATGTCATTTTAGCCTACGTGAGTATCAATAGTATTAACCCCACACCTTGGCGTCGTCAAGATAATCCGCAATGGTATAATATGGCCCATGAACAATCTATTTACTTTTTGTCGACAAAACAATGGCGTAATTAATTTGTCCTTATTTCTAGTATTTAATTTATGTCTGTCACAATTCTTTAGATAACAATTAAGATTATGTCTAACATACAAAATATTACAATAAATATTTTGGGACGCAACAGTGAGTATATTAATCTCTTTAAAAATATCTCTGAGTGTATTCCGGGCTCCGATGTTATAGATTGCTCGGACAGCTCTTTTTTGAAGAATAAATATAGAATTTATATCAAATGCACTACCCCACATCAAAATGCCGTACGATAAGATGCTGTGACAATGACTAAAGTACACAAGTCTGGCAGTGTCGATGTCTGTTAGCTGTCTAACCTTCCTAACCGCAAAAACAGCGGAGCTTAGCCTACTCGCAAGATGATAGATGGGGACTCCACGGAAGCTTTGAATCTAATGTAATCCCCAAAAAAACTGCAGACTCAACGGGATTGAGGGATACGTTATGTAATAATTAACTGAAAAGTTTCTCTTCTTAAACTAGGAAGAGTAAAAAGAATACATTTAGTTTTTTTGGCATTTATTACCATATTATTTATGGTTAACTAGTGAAGGATTTGCGAAAGTGCACTATTTACGTCGTCATAATTTGATAAATTTCGGTCAACCTTAAACATGAGTGATGTATCTTCAGCAAACAGTACAACATCACAAAACTCACTGGCATAAGAGGGGAGATCATTTATATATACTAGAAATAAAAATGGGCCCAAGATTGATCCTTGTGGGACACCCATTTTCATGGGGGACCCTGCGGAATTAACATTATTTATAGATACTTTTTGAATTCTATTACTAAGGTGATGAGATTGAGGGCACTGTCACGAATGCCATAATAATCTAACTTGCGACGAAGGGTTTTGTGATCTACGCAGTCGAAGGCTTTTGAAAGGTCACAAAAGACACCTAATGCATCTTGTGACCTTTCCCAGGCGTTATAAATATGCTTGACAAGTGCGACACCCGCATTTGTTGTCGATCTGCCTTTAGTGAATCCATATTGCTCACCGTGAAAAATTTTGTTCATATTAAAATGTACTAATAGTTGATTTAAAATATTTTACTTAAAGATGGCAATATGGAAATAGGTATATGGTTACTTGGATCTTTTTATCCCCACTTTTGTAAACGGGGATTACTAAATTTCATAAGATCTGGAAATATTCCAGAATCTATACAGTTGTTAAAAATGTAAGCCAATTTGGTGCAATATATGGCATTACTGTGGTCATTAATTTTATGGACATGCCCCATAAAACCTCTGTACTTTTAAAATTAATAGACTTTATGAAGTACATTACAGTATTAAATTCAAGAACATATGAAGTATAGTAAAAGAAAATTCACCATTAAATGATGGAACTAATTAAATGAACACAGCAGGTCTTGTTTTCTCTCTTCGTATTAATCAAGATTTTTAATTTTTAATCTAGGTCGAAATAATATTATTCTATCACTTTGCTGCTGCTTAACGGAAGCTACCCCGGAATGCGACCAATCCGTGTTTTTTGTATAGCAAGACGTAAGTAAACGAAAAGAAATATTTCTTGAAAGGTTTTTTTTTTTATTGAATAAAGTTACTTTTGAAACTCATTTAGCGGCTTCTATTTTAAAACGGTTATACCAATAGCAATGGATTTATGTGAGCTGGTGTCGAGCATATTTGAAGTGGAGTTATGCTACAAGGGGGAGAAACTATTGTAACTTCACTTAACTTGCTGTCTTTTACTTGATGTATTTGCTTTCAGTTCGTAGACATTAAAAGCAGGTCCGTAGACTTTTAAAGCAAAGCTATTAAAGCAAAGATGGAGCGTTGTATCAAGTTTGTAGGATCTGGCTGTTTCACAAATATGTGGCTACGTCTGTTATTTTTAACACAACCTCACGTAAGAAACATATTCTGACGCATATTTTTTTTATTAGCATGTTATAGTGTCAATAAATTTTCTTTACGATAGAGAATATGAAAATCAAAACGAAATGTTATTATTCATTCACTTTTATATTTTTCCAATTTTTATAGAGTAAGTAGGTATACTTGTAAGAGAGTAATATTTTACGGTATAAAATTACATAATCAAATATAATTCAATACCATTTAAGTAGTATTGGTTTTATAGAGAAAAAATTGATTCAATTCATGTTTCCTCACTATTAATCAATTCAAACATTTTCATAAAAATTATTAGCAATTCCACTAAATTGTTCATGAAATTGTGGTATTAAAAAGCGTATGATGTTTTTGACAAGCGTATGCTCGTTCAAATGTCGATGTAAGACTGGTTTAACATGGAATTTTAATTAATTAACTAGAGAGAAGCATGAAGCTAGTTATGTTCATAGTCGTTATATTGACATTTTTTATTACGGTAAGAATTTTTAGTAAAAAAAATGTTCATTAACCAAGAGTAAATGTAATTTTTCGGTCTAAATAAAAATATGTACATAAATTGTAAATTTTTGTAGATAAATGAACAAAAATTTTCGGCGCTGCGAGGTTATAACCTGCGTTTCCTGGTTTCGCGCCCAAACATTTTCCTAACTAAACTAAGCTCCACTAACCACACTTCCGAAAATCTTCCAGAACTATCTACATTCGTTCTATTGCATTTTTAGCAATGCTTGGCTTATCAATCTGGATCCTTTACAGCATACAACACCTTACAAATAACATTCAACGATGAATATGAATATATTTTATCTTTAATTATTTTAATCACGTTGCGCTATTAAAATTTATGGTGTAAATACTCGCGGTTATTATAAATAACCGTAACCAGTGATGTAATGATACAAATTTTTTTTTCAGGGGGCATGTTTTAAATATGTAACAAAATATTCGTAATCTTATGATACCTTTATTTAATTTCAGGCTGAACCTATAACATATGAAGTTCCACCGGAGTTGGGGTTCATGCATTACCCGCCAGTCATGGTTCCCGCAAAGAATTTCGCAACGCATGTACCGAAAATTACCAAAAGCTTAAGAATGAGAAAACTGTAATAATTTTTATTAAATGTGTGGCGGATGAAAACAACCGCCGCGTCCACTTTAAATTTAGCGCGCAAAAGCGCGCGACTCGCGCTTTGCAAACGAGTCGCCTCTGATTGGTCGGCGACCGGGGAGTTACCTTTGCCTCGACAATCGCCGCTCAGAACACAACGGTCGACTTGTCTTTGTTAACAATAATATTATTTTAAGGGTGAAAATATTGTGAACACATCTAAAGTTCTTCTGATTTAAATACAATTAATAGTGAGAACTTTTTCTCCCATTTTCCCCAGACCTTGCCACATTTGAATGGACAATTTAAATTTTACTTTTATTTTCTTGGCTCTAGCACATAATACTATGATATTTCTCATTTATTTTTTTTTTGTGTGTTATACTTTTATGTTTATAATTTTTGTTTATAACATATTTAACAATTTTTTTGGTTTTGGTGTTTTATAACAACTTTTGGACTAATACAACTGGACTAATATATAATATACTGTACAATAACTTTTATAACTAACCTACCTGTGCTAAATAGTAACTTTTAACTATTTTTAAATTACTTTCCATCTAACTCATTAACTGCCATTGGAAATTTTAATACTTGCATCGCTGGGCAGGAAATTATTAGAAATTTTAATTTAATTTTTCTTTGCATTTTTTTGTTTGTATATGTTTTGTTTGTTTGACACCATTTGTCCTTGGGTATAATTGTATGTTTTTGTTCATTGTTTGCCAATATTTTACAAGTTGTATATTAGTAAATATTTAATTTTAATTTTATTTGGTTGGTTTTATAATGGTTTGGTGGTTTTATAATTTGTTGTCGAATGTTATGTGCACTATTTGACTATTATTTTGCAAGTTACCTTTTATTATAATATTGTTTAGTGCATTATTATTATTTTTTTAATAATGGAAGAGGAATTAAAGCAACAGATTGAAGAGCTTAAACGGCAGGTTGCTAGATTATGTGTCAAACAAGCAGGTAGTAACACCGAACAAAATGTAGGAGCAGTCAGTGTTAAGTTGTCTCAGTTTTGGCCCAACAAACCAGCAATTTGGTTCGCACAGGCTGAGGCACAGTTCGAAGTCGCAGGCATTACCAAGGATGCAACCAAATATGGTCACATCCTTTCAAAGCTGAAACCTGATGTGGCTGACGAGGTGGAAGACGTCATTGCTCATCCTCCAGCAGATGACAAGTATGAAAACTTGAAAACCGAGTTGATCAAACGATTTTCAGTTTCCAGAGAGCAACGCATTCGCCAACTTCTAGGCGAAGAGCAGATGGGCGACCGCAAGCCTTCTTATTTTCTTCGTCACCTGCAGTCTTTGGCAGGAAAAGGAGACGATGGCATTTTACGCGAGTTGTGGATGCGTCACCTGCCCATTGACGTCCAGCGCATCCTGATGGCTCATCAGGACTTACCATTGAGCAAACTTGCTGAGCTAGCTGACGGTATTGTTGACGTTGCCCCTGGTAAAAGCGATTCAGTTAATTCTGCTTCTGCGGTTCCCACCCTACCCGACTTTAGCCAAATTATGAAACGCCTTGACGAACTGATACAGAAGGTGAACGCTTTGAGCAGAAGCCACGCAGGCTCTCGTTCGCGGAGCAGCTCACGCTCCCGGCCTCGTTCTGCATCTCGGCACCGCAAGTCGGGACCTTGTTGGTACCACGCCAAATTCGGTACCAAGGCCGCCAAATGTTTGACTCCAGGCACATGGAAACCCGATCAGACGGGAAACGCCCTGAACAATCAGTAGCGGCGTCTGATTGTGAAATTAGTACTAGCCGCCGTTTGTTCATTAAAGATACCGAGTCGGGTCATCGATTTCTTATCGATACCGGATCGGATATTTGCTGCTTTCCCCGCCGACTTCTTCGCGATCCCTCCAGAGCTTCTGCATTCGATGTCCGCGCTGCTAACGGGAGCATAATTAAGGCATACGGCTTCCATATCCTTCGTCTCAACTTTGGACTCCGTCGAGAATTTAGACGGAACTTTGTTATAGCTGATGTTGGTACTCCCATAATCGGGGCTGACTTCCTCGCTTATTACAATCTGTTGCCAGACTGTTCTAAGCGACGATTAGTAGACGGCGTTACAAATATTTCCGTCACTGCCACTGTGGTAGCTATTAATCAACCCAGCGTAAAAACCATCATTACTGACAATTCCGTTTTCTCCAAAATATTACAGGAGTTTCCAGAACTGACGAGACCACCCGGATTTCCCCGCGTTGCGAAGCACAACACCGTCCACCACATTTTGACCACAGACGGACCACCTGTCTGCAGTCGTCCCCGCCGGCTCGCACCTCAAAAGCTCAAGGTAGCCAAACCTGTTTTCGAGGACATGGTAGCTTGTGGTTCAGCCCGCCCCTCTCAGAGCCCATGGTCTTCGCCTCTGCAGATGGTGCTCAAGGATAAACACCTTGACATTCCATCCACCTCGCAAGACCGCTGGCGACCATGCGGCGATTACAGGGGACTCAACTTACGGACGATTCCCGATCGTTACCCAGTCCGACACATCGGAGACTTTGATAGCAACCTAGCCGACTGTACTATCTTTAGCAAAATAGATCTGGTTAAGGCCTACCAACAAATCCCTGTCGCACCTGAAGATATAAGCAAAACTGCCATTATTACACCTTTCGGTTTGTACGAATTTTGTTTTGTCTTTTGGTTTGCGCAATGCTGGACAAACCTTCCAGCGCTTCATTGATAAGGTAACCAATGGCCTAGACTTCGTGTTTCCCTATCTCGAAGACATACTCCTTTTCTCACAGACCCCCGAGGACCATGTTGACCATCTTCGCGCTCTATTCAAGCGCTTATCGCAATACGGTGTTGTTGTCAACCCATCGAAATGTGTGCTTGGCGCAAATGAAGTAACTTTCCTCGGATACAAGGTTAGCAAATCGGGTACTTGTCCGCCTCCTGAGCGCATCGAAGCCCTGCGGGATTTCCCTCCACCTAAAACAGTTGAAGGCTTCCGCAGATTCTTGGGTATGGTGAATTTTTACCGCCGCTTTCTGCCACATGGTGCAGAACTCCAAGCACCGATAATCGACAGTTACGTGTCGGGTCAGCTTAAAGGGTCGCAACCAGTTCCGTGGACACCGGAGCTCCACACCGCGTTCCAGAATTGCGAATGCGACGCTTCTTGCCCACCCTGTACCCGACGCTAAACTTGGTTTATTCACCGATGCTTCGTCCACCCATGTTGGCGCTTGCTTACAACAGCTCGTTGATGACTCCTGGCAGCCTCTCGCCTTCTTTAGCAAGAAGCTCAAACCCGGCCAGACAACCTGGCCCGCCTACTACAGGGAGCTGCTAGCGATTTACGACGCTGTCCATCATTTTCGCCATATCATGGAAGCTCAACATGTGGTTATATACACGGATCATAAACCGTTAACGTACGCCTTTTCACAAAAACGAGAGAAGCTTCCACCCGTCCAGCTCAACCAACTTTCTTTCATATCCCAGTTTACAACTGACATCGTTTATGTACATGGGAAAGAAAACGTCGTTGCTGACGCTATGTCACGTGTGGAAGCCGTCCATATACTCCATGACTTCGCTGCTCTCGCTGCGGAACAGGCAACTGACGACAAACTGCAGAGGATGCAAACCAACTCGTCCCTAAAACTAGAAAAAGTATTGGTTCCTGGTTCCGACGTTGAAATTTTCTGTGACCCGTGGAGACGTCACAGTAAACCTCGTCCATTTCTTACATCTTCTTTTCGCCGTTCTTACTATGACAAAATTCACAATCTCAGCCACCCCGGCGCGCGGGCAACCGCACGCATGGTAGCTGAGCGTTTTGTGTGGCCGAATATACACAAAGACTGCTACAAATGGTCTCGTGCTTGTACTGCTTGTCAACGCAGAAAGATTTCTCGGCACACATTGACTCCTCTTGGTAATTTTTCTGCACCACACGATTTTACCACGTGCATATTGACATCATTGGCCCTCTCCCTTCCAGTAAGGGATTCCAGTACTGTCTGACGGCTGTCGACAGATTTACTCGGTGGCCAGAGGCTTGGCCAATGGTCAACATGACAGCGGAGGAGTGCGCAGAAACCTTTTTTAGAGGTTGGATCGCTCGTTTCGGCGTGCCCACCATCGTGACGACCGACCAGGGTCGTCAATTCGAGTCGTCTCTTTTTCAGACCCTCATGCAGATGTGTGGCAGCAAACGCGTTCGCACCACAAGTTACCACCCGTGCGCGAACGGCCTCGTCGAACGCATGCACAGGCAACTTAAAGCCGCTTTGATGTGCCACGAGGAAACATGGCACAAGTCGCTGCCTGTGGTCCTACTCGGCATGCGCGCAGCTCTCAAACAGGACCTGCAATGCTCACCGGCCCAGCTTGTTTACGGGGAACCCCTGCGCTTGCCCGGTGAACTCATTGCCCCTTCTCCAGCTCCAGATCGCGTCGAGGACTTAACCAACTTCACCACTCAACTCCGCCTGCAGATGGCACGACTGAGGCCAACACCTGCCTCCCGCCATGGTCAGCAGCCAGTCTTCGTTTCGAAGGACCTCTTGACTGTGAGGGATATGTATGGTCACTTCTGTGTCCGTAAGCGCCAGCGTGGGCAAGTCCTCAATAAAAGCACACACTGGATAAAACTGTTTATTAGTTATATTAGCACATGGCTAATATAACTAATAAACAGTTTTATCAAATTATGGTTACACAAGCAATACACTATATGAAACATCAGAGCAATATAGTACCACAAATGATATGGGAATATTCCACAAGTTAGAAAATGCTCGTCTAATTATGTGTCCATTGTTCCTCTCTTAAACTCTGTCTATGACATATCGTCTCTATTCCGAACTTGCGTTCCGGAAATGCGTTGTTGAGTGCGTTCGGAAACACCACACGTTGTTGGTGCGTTCGGAAACGCCACACCACCCCCCTATGGAGAAGGAGAATCCGTAGGAAATTTAAAGGTCAAAAGGTTTGGAGAAATGAACTCTACGACCAGACCGAGTAGTATACTGAGGTGTGTGTGAAGGAGAAGAAGCAGGAAGGGGTACGGATGGTACGGTAGGAGAAGAGGATGTCCGAGTAGTATCTAGTTGGGCAGGTTGAGGCACAGAAACACAAGGTGGTGATGCCGGAGAAAATAAATCCGTAGGAATCGGATGTTCGACAAAAGCTGGCTTGAGTCTGTCGACGCTAACCGTCATCTGCTTACCATTGACTTCTATCGAGAACGTCTTCCCGTCCTTGGCTCTAGAAATAACCTTATGAGGGCCGGAGTAGGGAGGCTGCAGAGAGCGACGAACAGTATCGTTCCTAAGCATGACGTATAACGCTGTAGCGAGATCCTTAAAAACGAAAGGTGACGACTGTGTATGTTGAGAAGCTGGGGTGGGACGCAATTTGGACATATGTTGTCTTAATTTGCAGACAAAATCCGGAAGCTCCTCAAAGCCAGAAACTCCAGAAGATACCAATAGTTCTCCTGGGAGTAACAAGTTTTCTCCATAGAGCATTTCTGCTACTGTTGCCTGTATATCTTCCTTAAACGCAGAACGCATCCCCAAGAGGACTAAAGGCAATGCGCTTAACCAGGAATCATCATGGCACATAAGAGAGGCTTTTAACTGCCTATGCATGCGCTCAACGAGTCCATTGGCACAGGGATGGTAACTAGTGGTTCGAATACGTTTAGTACCGCACATGTCGGTGAGGCGTTTGAAAAGGTCCGATTCAAACTGTCGTCCCTGGTCAGTTGTTATGACAGCAGGAACACCGAATCGAGAAATCCAAACGGCCACGAAGGTACTTGCCACCTCTTCCGCAGTTATACCACTCATAGGCCATGCTTCTGGCCACCGAGTATAACGGTCTATAGCGGTAAGGCAATATTGAAAACCAGAACAAAATGGCAATGGCCCGATGATGTCAATATGGACATGTTTTAGTCGTGACGTGGGGCTGGAAAAGTGTCCGGGCGGAGATTGTGTATGCCGTGTTACTTTGCTTCTTTGGCAAGGCACACACATTTTGCACCATCTGCGGCAGTCTTGGGACATGCCAGGCCAAACGAAACGGTCAGATACCAGTCGTATAGTGGCTCGGGCGCCAGGATGGCTAAGGTTATGCAGCTGGTCAAAGATTTTCTTCCGCATAGGTTCCGGGACAAACGGTCGCGGGCGTCCGGTGGACGTGTCACAGACCAAAGATGATGTAGTGCCAGGAACGATGATATCCTCTAGCTTAAGAGAAGAATTTGTATCGTTACGATACTTCTTCAATTCATCGTCGAGTTTTTGGCAAGTGGCGAGGGCAGAATGGTCAGCTTCGAAGCTGATGGCTTCGATGCGGGACATGGCGTCCGCCACCGTGTTGTCTGTCCCCTTTACATGGACTATGTCCGTCGTGAATTGAGAGATGAAAGAAAGTTGGTTGAGCTGTACGGGCGGCAGCCTCTCGCGACGTTGCGCAAACGCGTACACTAGCGGCTTGTGATCCGTGTAAATTTTAACGTGTTGCGCGGCGAGAAAATGTCGATAATGCTGCACGCTCTCATAAACAGCGAGCAACTCTCTGTAGTAAGCTGGCCATTGGGACTGTTTGGGTTTCAGCTTTTTGCTGAAGAAACCTAAGGGTTCCCAATCATCTCCTACTTTCTGCTGAAGGCAAGCACCGACGTGAGAAATTGAGGCGTCTGTGAAGAGACCTAACTCAGCGTTTGGAAGTGGATGGGCCAGAAGAGCAGCAGACGTTAAGCTGTCTTTACAAGCCTTAAAACTTTCTTCGAGCTCAGGTGTCCAAGTGACTGGTGTGGGACCTTTGCCTTGGGAAGCAACGATTGCGTCGATGATCGGTGCTTGCATTTCTGCAGCATTTCGCAAAAATCGGCGATAATAGTTGACCATCCCTATAAAACGGCGGAGTCCTTGTACGGTCTTCGGAAGAGGGAAATCTTGCAATGCCTGAATACGCTCTGTTGGTGGTCTTGTTCCTAAGGCGGAAATGCGGTTACCGAGAAAAGTCACCTCGGGAACACCAAATACGCATTTCGCCGGATTAATAACAATTCCGTGGTCTTCAAGACGTTTGAAGAGAATACGGAGGTGCTCGGCATGCTGACGGGCACTTTTCGAATACACCAAAATATCGTCGATGTATGCATAGCAAAAATCAAGTCCCTCGGTGACTTCGTCAATGAATCTTTGAAACGTTTGGCCAGCATTGCGGAGGCCGTACGTCATGTAATGAAATTCATATAGTCCGAAGGGTGTTATTATGGCGGTTTTGCAAATGTCCTCAGGCGCAACAGGTATTTGTTGATAGGCCTTTACGAGGTCAATCGTACTAAATATAGTACAGCCAGAGATATTATGACCAACATCGCCAATATGGCGGACCGGATATCGATCAGGTACTGTGCGCGAATTTAACGCGCGGTAGTCCCCACAAGGTCGCCAGGTGCCGTCTCGTTTAGGAACCATGTGGAGGGGCGAGGACCATGAACTTTTTGAAGGTCTAGCTGTGCCACACCGCACCATGTCATCAAAAACTTTCTTAGCTTCTTGAAGCTTTTGAGGCGCAAGGCGTCTAGGGCGACATGAGACGGGGGCTCCCTCTGTGGTCAAGATGTGGTGAACCGTGCTATGCTTCGGCTCCCGAATAAGACCAGGCGGCTTAGTAATTGACGGGAATTCCGCCAAAATTGCGCTGAATTCCGACGGAGGAGCAGACACCACTTTGATGCTGGTCTGACCTAATATTGCGATGACAGCAGTGCATGATATGCCAGTACCGCTGTCCACAAGTCTTTTATTGGCACAATCTGGCAATAGACGGTAGTGTGCCAAAAAGTCTGAACCAATGATGGCAGTGCTGACGTCAGCGACTATGAATCGCCAATGAAAGTCGCGACGCAGTCCTAGGTTCAATGACAGTTGTATAAAACCAAATGTGCGAATCTCACTACCATTAGCAGCAGCCAGTGTATAGTTCGATAGCGTTGGCTTATTGGCTAACCACTGGTATGGGTAACAGGAGAGATCTGAGCCTGTGTCAATTAAAAACTGGCGCTTCGATACGCTTTCGGTGACAAATAATCGGCGACTCTCCGGTAAGCAGTCAGTCGTCGCCGCTAATGACTGCTGTTCGAGTTTTCCGAGGGCGGCGGCGTCCAGGTGCAAGGCTTAACGCACTTAGATGCTTTGATCCCATACTTCGTGTGGTAAAAACACATTTTAGACTTACCGGTTGTTTGCGAGCGATCACGCTGGTTTGAGCGACCCCGTGACCTATCCCTACCGCGTTCGGCAGTGAGCACTGCGATCTGGCGAGTAAGCTCATCTAGGCGCCGTGTGATGTCATCGAGCGATAAAGATGAGACGGCTGGAGTGTTAGCTGAAAAGACGGTCGGTGAGCGAGGTGTGCCTAGACCAGGAGAAACTTCCAAAATTTTGTCCGCTAGCTCAGCAATTTTGTCAAGCGACAGTTCAGACTGAGCGGCCAAAATGGCCTGAAGGTGCTGTGGTAGGCGGCGCATCCAAAGTTGGCGGAGTAAATTTTCGTCCGTGAGAGCGTTCCCAGCTAACGACCTAAGATGTCGCAAAAACTGCGAAGGGCAACGATCGCCAAGCTCCTCATCGCTAACAAGCTGACGGACACGTTGTTCCTCTGATGCTGAGAGCCTACGAATGAGCTCTGACTTTAACCTACCATACTTGTCTTCAGACGGTGGTTGAAGAATAATATCCTCCACTTCTCCAATTATGCGGGTATCCAGCTGAGCGATGACATAATTAAATTTATTTAAATCTGTGGAGATACCAGAAATTGTGAACTGGGCCTCAGCCTGTGCGAACCAGATGGCAGGCCGATCTGCCCAGAAAGGAGGAAGCTTAACAGAGACCCTACAAATTGAGGGAGATTGAGAGGTAGAGAGATCATTGGGGGTAGTGTCTGTGTTGTGTGTTGTAATACTGTTAGAATGCAATGTTTTAAATTTTTCTAGTTCGGCAGTTAATAATGCATTTTGCTGCTGTAATAAGGAATTTTGTTCACTTAGTACATTTAAATTAGGCTCCATGGTTAAACAGATGACAATATGATCTTAAATTTAACAGTATTTGGAGTATGTGGTCTTAAATTTAACAGTATTTAGAGTATGTTAAAAGAAAAATATAAGAACAACAGAAAGTACAGATTCTAAAATGTAACTACACACAATTAAAAGAAATAAGAGTAAACAATGCCAATAGCAACATAAAATGATAATAGTACAGACACAAAATAATTATAATAATGAGTTAAATAATTATAGTAATTAGTGTAAAGAAGAAACAAGTACACACACACTTTAGCTAGATTAAGTAAAGCAATGAAGGCCCCTTAAAGCTACAATAATTATATTTATTTAAACAAGTTACTATTATAGTTTATACTATTATAGTTATAGTTATTGTAAACAAGCTAATGTGTCAAAGTTAAAAACATGTTTATGTTTAGATATTAATCAGACAAACCAAAATTATATTGGAAAAACCATGCTGATCTCCTTATAAGATTTAATATAAATTTTTTAATGGAAATTTCCCT